CTCCTTGCAGTTTTATCAGATTTTGCTTCACATATTTTGGTGCTCTGTTGTTAGGTGCAAACATATGAGAGATTATTTTGTCTTCTTGGAGAAATGACCTCTTTATCATTATGTAATGCCCTACTTTATCCCAGGTAATTTTCCTTGCTTTGAAATCTGTTTGTCTGAAATTAGTACAGTTACTCTAGCTTTCTTTTGTTTAGTGTTAGCATGATATTTTTTTCTCCATCCCTTTACTTCTAGTTTATATGTGTCTTTATATTTAAAGTAGATTTCTTGTAGACAACATATAGTTGTCTTTTTTTATCCACTTTGACAATCTCTGTCTTTAATTGCTTCATTTAGACTATTGACATTTAAAGTGATTATTGATATAGTTGGATTAATATTTACCATATTTTTTGCTGTTTCTATTCACTGCCCTTGTTTTTTGTTCCTATTCTTGTCTTCCACTCTTGTTCTGTGTTTTGATTGAGCATTTTATATGATTCCAATTTCTCTCCTTTTTTAGCATATTATACTAAATACTACATTTTTCACTTTTTTTAGCACTAGAGTTTGCAGTATACATTAACAACTAAGCCAAGTCCACTTTCAAGTAACACTATACCTCTTCATGGGTAGTGCAGGTACTTTATAACAGAGTCTTCCCAATTCCTCCTTCCCATCCTTTTAACATTGCTGTCATTCATTTCACTTATCCATTAGCTATAATCATCTAATATATTGTTGCTATTATTATTTTAAAACTCTTATCTGTTAGATTAAAAGTAAGAAACATAAATGATTTTATACGTCATTTGTTTGTTCGTTCTTGAATGCTCTTTCTTTACTTATATCCAAGTTTCTGACCTACATCATTTTCCTTCTCTCTGAAGAACTTATCATTTCTTTTTTTTTTTTGAACTTATCATTTCTTTCAAGGCAAGTCTGGTCAATTTTTGTTTGTCTCAGAAAGTCTTTATTTCTCCTTTATGTTTGAAGAATAATTTTGCTGGATACAAAGTTCTAGACCATGGGGTTTTGTTTTTTTTTTTTTCCTTTCAGCACTTTAAAATATTCCACTTCACTCTCTTCTTGCTTGTGTGGTTTTTGAAGAGAAATCATATAATTCTTATACTTGTTTCTCTAGAGGTAAAATGAGTTTTTTTCTTCCCCCTTCTGGCTTCTTTCAAGATTTTTTTCTCTGTCTTTGATTCTTTGTAATTTTAATACAATATACTAGGTGGAGATTTTTTGACATTTGTCCTTGTTGGTGTTCTCTGAGCTTCCTGGATCTGTGGTTTGGTGGCTGTCATTGATTTTAGACAATTTTCAACCATTATTACTTCAAATATTTCTTCTATTCCTTTCTCTCTTTCTTCTCCTTCTGGTATCCCCATTACTCTATGTTACACATTTTGTAATTGTCTCACAGTTCTTTGGATGTTTTGTTCTATCTTTTTATCCTTTTTTCTATTTGCTTTTCAGTTTGGGAAGTTTCTATTGACATATCTTCCACTCTCCTGATTCTTTACTTGACTATGATCAGTCTACTAACGAGCCCGTCAAAGGCATTCTTCATTTCTGTTACAGTGTTTTTGGTTTCTATCATTTCCTTTCAATTCTTCTCTAGAGTTTCAATCTCTCTGCTTACACTACCCATCTGTTTTTGTATGTATGTTGTCCACCTTTTCCATTAGATCTGTTAGCATATTAATCATAGTTATTTTAAATTCTTGGTCTGATAATTCCAGAACCTCTGCCATATCCAAGTCTGGTTCTGATGTTTGCTCTGTCTCTTCAAACTGTGTTTTTTATCTCTTAGTATGCCTTGTAATTGTTTGCTGAGAGAAACATGATGTACTGGGTTAACAGAACTGAGGTAAATAGGCCTTTAGTATGTTGTTTTATGTTTGTCTGGCTGTTAGGCCATGTTCATTGTTCACTGTAGCTGTAGGTGTCAGAGGACTCAATTTCCTTTAGTGTCCTTGTTCTTGTCTCTCCTGTTGTTTTGAGTTTCCCTAGGAACTCCTTTTTTTTTTTTTTTGAGTCTGAGCCTTGCAGTTTTTTCTGTTGTCATCCCCTGTCATTATACTGGAGTCTTGTTTATGTGGTGGTGAAGTATGGGGCAAGGGAAATGCTATAATCCTATGACTAGATTTCAATCTTTAGTGAGCCTGTGCCTCTAGGCTGTGACCTTCACAAGAGCTTCTCAGCCTTCTCCCCCCAGCCTTTGGTGACACAAGAAGTCTAAAGGTGGCTGGAGTGGGGGTATTTCCATTCCTCCAGGTCAATAAAGCTGGTAAACTCTGGTCAGTTAGGCTCACTCTGGTAAAATAATTTCCCTGGAGCATAGGTGTAAAGGAAACACTCTGTTTTTTTTCTTTCCCACATAGGGAAAAACCCAATTCTTCCCTACTGTGAGTTTCTTCCCTATGTGTCTCCTTTACTACTCACACAGAACACTTCACTTCTGATATTTCTTGCCACCAAATGTATGGAAGTTTTCCCTTACAACAGTGTGACACTAGCTGGGTGTCCCACAGTATAAGTCAATTCTGACACTACTTACTCAGACCCCACAGGCTTATTTCCCCAAGACTGAAACCTACCCCCAGTTCAGATACCAATCACAAGCCCAGGTCCTTCTGACCAACCAGCTATAGATCCAAGGTCCCAAAGACCCCCTCCTTGGGTTCAATTAATTTGCTAGAGTGGCTCACAGAACTCAGAGAAATATTTATTTACATTTACCAGTTTATTAAAGGATATAATAAAGGATACAGAGTAATAGCAGATGAAGAGATACATGAGGGAAGGTCTGGGAGTTGGAGTGTGTCACCCTCCCAGTATGTGGATGTGTTTACCCAACAAGAAGCTCTCCCAACCCACTGTTTTTGGGATTTTATAGAGACTTCCTCACATAGGCATCATCAATTCTTAACTTCATTTCTAGCCCCTCTCCCCCATCTTGAGGTTGGGGGTGGGGCAGGGCTGACAATTGCAAGCTTCTAATCATGGGTTGGTCTTTCTGGTGACCAGTCCCCATCCAGCCATTCAGGAGCCCATCAGAATCACCTCATTAGAAGAATAGATGTTCCTAGTGCTCTTAGGATTTTACAAAGATTTTAGGACCTCTGTGCCTGGAACTGGGGACACAGACCAATAGATATTTCTATTATCTCACAGCAGGCCTTTGTTAAAGAGAACAGGACAATCTGGGTTACTTTTCATATTTTAAAATGAGTACTTTCCCCTCCCCCTGCTGGAAGCACCATGCATTTTCCTCCAGTCTTCACAGTGAGAACCTGCTAGTGCTCCCAGGAGGTAAAATTCACGAAAGTGTGCCCCCTCCTCCAAAGACTGGGCCCCATAGTTTTTAACTCTCAAGCTAGCACACAATAAGCCTCCAGCATTTCATCAATTACAGTTTGTATTCCTACCAGTAATAGCCATGCTTTTTATCTTCTATATTCTGATCCTTTGGCACCTTGAGGCTTTGTTGACCCTGGAAGGACAGCCCTCCCAGTTTTAGCTAATTCTTAGAGATAGCAAACAACTCATCTGCAAGCTTTCCTTTCGTATGCAAACCAACCAACCCAGGTTTATAACCTCAATCTTTATCAAGCTCATACTCTGGGCCTCTATCCACCTGCCCTATTCACCCCAGGGCCTGGTATCAGAACAACTAGGGAATGCCCCTATGCTCCAGGGCCCACTGAAATTATTCAAATTAGCCAATCCTAAACCTGCTTACCCTGCCTCACCCCTTCCTTTCCTTAGAAACCATAATAAAGGCTCATGCCCACATTTTTCCTCTCTGCCTTGCTACTGACTGAACATTGTGCTTCCTCATGTGGCCCTATGTGACACGGTGTTGCTTGGGATCTGTAAGTCCAAAAACCTCTTCCTCCATGACAGTCATTTCCATGTCTGAGTATCTTACCATACCTAATTAAAGTAAGTCCTGAATACTCTCCCTTTAAGCACTATAAGCACTGGCTCCCATGGAGGGCTTCTGCTCAAGGTAAGCTATGATTCTCTGCCTCTCCAGTTTGCGGACAGTAGCTTGCCCTACAAACTCAATTTTCTGATGGATCTAAAAAGAATTGTTTTTCAGTTTGTTCAGGTTTTTTCTTGTTAGTAGGATGGAGCTCTTTACACATTGGAGTGAAACCCAGAAGTCCAATCATTTCATTTTTTACCTATTTTCTCTATCTTCTTAGCCAAGGCAGAACAATTCTTTTTCCAGTATCCTTTATGATTACAGTTTCTTGAAGTATCTTTATCAAGAAACTCCCTCCATTGGGGTTTGAATACTGAATGGGGCCTTTATAAAAGCACAAAACTGACCATGTCACCTCTGCGTAAAACTTTTCTGGCATCCTTCCTACCCACTCACTACCTAACCCTGCCCTATACCCACTCGCTGCACACACACACTCTATTTTCACTCTAGGTCTTAGCTTAGAAGTTTCTTCCTCCAGAATATCTTCCTCAGGTCTGGGTGAAGCCCACCACTGTGCTTCTTGGATTCTACCAGTATCCTAGTTTGAGATCCAAGAGGAGAACTCTGGATAGTTTATCTTTGAACCACAGAGCAAATTCTGTTTGCTAAACCCAGCATGCTCCCCTTACATCACACTTGTATAGATATTATCTCAGTTGGATTTACCTACCACACTTTGAGATAGATGCCTATAGATAAATCAGGTCCCCTGGAAGCAGAGCCTGAGATGGGGATTCTTGTGCATGTGATTTATTGAGGGCAGCTCTCAGGAGACAAGGAGTAAGGGAATCAGGACAGATCAAGGGAAGGAGCTGAGCAAAGCTGTGTGTTCAGCTGGGGTCTAGCCTCTGCCTGATCCCACAGGGAGCTCTGGAGAGTGAATGAACCACAGACTTGCTCTGCCTGGAGGCCAGAGGACTGGACTTTTTATACCCCATATCAGTTAGCAATTGGCTGTCAGCTGACTTGAGGAGAGGGGAGGGGTGTAAACTCCCAGACATTTCCCAAGATGGTTTCCATCAACCACGGGTCCCTTGGGAAGGGAGAAGCTGTGAACGGTAAGAGCCAACATGCATAGCAGCTAAGGGACAATGCCACGGCCAGACAATGGAGATCTGGGTAGACCACCCACAGCACACCCACGAGAAAACTGACTCAGAGAGAACAAGAAACCTGCCCAGTGTTACCGGGGTAATAACCAGCAGAACAAGGTTTCAGGCCCACATATCCAGACTCTGAATCCCCAGCTTACTCTACCCAAATCCACCAGCGACCAGCTTTGGTTGCTGTTTCACGGGGTGGCTTGCTTCTCAGAATGTAAAGCTCAAGGGTCAGGGAGCAGCGAGGAAAACTCTCTGTGGCTGCTACATTGCATGCACAACCTTGAGAGGCTGGAAAAGGGGTGGACAGAGGCAAGAATTTGACAACCTGGGACTCCTTGTCCTGGACTCCATCACTGATGGGACTGTTGGTGGGGATGTTGGGTGATGAAACTCTACTCTGCCCTGCCCTGCCCAAAGTTGGGGCTCTCACAGCTCTGTTGGGAAAATCTGCCTAGTGGTGGCAGAAAAGCCTGGATGGGGAGCCACTGTGAAAAGTGAGAACCTGTGCTCTGCAGACAGATCAGGTTCCAGGTGATGCCCACTTAGAGCACAAAGATGGCAAGGCAGGCTGGAGGTGGGAGGGAAGGAGGAGGACCTTTGTTGAGTACCTCTCATGAGTCAGACCCTTTATTCCTGTTTTAAATTAACCTAACTATTCCTGTTTTAACCTAACCTAACTATGTAGTGGCTACTAGAGCCGTTTTACAGGTGAGGAACCTGAGGTGCAGAAAAGTTAAGTAATTTATCTGTGGTCACAGAGATAAGTAAATGATAGAACTGATATTTTCGGGCAGACTGGCCTAGCTCCAAACCTGTGTTCTTTATACAAGTAAAAAGATCTTGACCGGGCTTCCCTGATGGCTCAGTGGTTGAGAGTCCGCCTGCCGATGCAGGGGACACGGGTTCGTGCCCCGGTCCGGGAAGATCCCACATGCTGTGGAGCGGCTGGGCCAGTGAGCCATGGCCGCTGAGCCTGCGCGTCCGGAGCCTGTGCTCCACAACGGGAGAGCCCACAGCAGTGAGAGGCCCGCATACGCAAAAAAAAAAAAAGATCTTATTTCCGGATAAGAATATCAGGGTAATGACGTCCGTTCTCAGAAGTCAGTCATTGTGTCATGTTCATTAACAAGCTGATGGAGTAGTAACATTCCCATGTTAGAGATGAGCTGAGACTCAGAGAGGTTAAGTGACTGGCTCAAAGACACCCTGCTAGTAAGTGGTGGAGAGGTTGCTTATTAATACCAGAACCTCATTACAATTTTTCCTGCATTTAATGTGTAACTGCCCAGCTGGGATAGCTGTGCTTACACTAGGTGTTGGGCAAGCTGTTGGGGAAAGTTCACACTTGAGAGTAGATTCTGCTCAGCCAGGCCATTTGCCAGTGCTATAAAGTCATGGTTTAAAATAACAGCAACAACGTGGGAGCAGCGCTGAGACACAGGATCGGAACCGACTCCGCTGCTCTCACCACCACCACCACCCCCCGTCCCTTCCCTCATGCCAGGTGGGGCACATGAGGGGACAGCCCTTGGAGAACGGAGCCAGCAGGCCCTCTGCGTCTCAGTCTTCCAGCCTTACCAAACAGAGGCTTACGCTTGGCCTTGGCCCTGGGCGTCAGGAGAGGACTGAGCTCTGACCCAAGGGACTGCACCCCCAAGCAGAGGAAGGCATGTGTCTGGGTCTCTAGCTGAGGTTTAGGTGAGAGTGTGGGAGTGCCAGCCGGTCAGAGGAGGGAGACATTAGCTCTCAGCCGAGACCAGAGGCTCTGTCTGAAAGAGGTGGCTTTTGGAACCATTAAGGTCCAGGAAGCATCTTGTACATCTGATTTCTCACAGCTGGGGACACTTTCCTGGGGTCGAGGCCCGTGAGGCCAGAACTGTTCATTCCCTGCCCCTGCAGGTGACAGGTCCGGGAGGAGACCCTCGAGGAAGCGGACTCACAAAGCCGAGAACGCGCCAGGCAGGCGCCGAGCCCCGCCTGGACAGAAGGAGCGGGCCGGGGGCAGCCCGGGGTCGGGGTCTCCCCGGAGGAAGCAGGCAGAGCGCAGGGGACGCAGAGAGCAGCTGGGGGAACCGGAGCGAGGCTCGGCAGAGAAGACCTGCGGAGGAAGGAGGAAGAGGGACGGGAGAGCTTCCTTCAGGGAGCACCGAGCACCTCCAAAGAAGGAAAAGGAGGTGCCGAGGAAGGAGGAGATGTGGAAGCAGCTGAAGAAACACAGGTGTGTTGTGACCGGGCTTCAGGCGCGCTTCAGTCCGCGCTCTCCCTCTCCTTCCAGCCCTGCTTCCTCCCTTGATAAGGGCCAGGTGTCGTCTTCCCCCCTCATTCTCTCCCATAAACGGGCGGCCCCTGCTCTTTACTTAGTCCCTGCCTTTGCCCCTGCCAAGCTCTTCGCGGTTGGGGGTGGAACCGGGATGAGGGTCACAGCCATCCCAGGTTGAGGGGCCACTGGGCACTCTCGACTCAAAGCCCTCCTGGAGCACAGGTGCAAGTGGAGCTCTGAGTGGGGAGGTGATATGGCAGCAGGGTGAGAAAAGATCCCAATTCTCAATTTCAGCTGGTGACTCACCACAGCTCTTGATGAGGAGCTGAGAGAAATTAACAAAATTGGATTTAGGAGTCATTCCAGGGCTTAAGCACACCATTTCCTAAGGTGACCTGTGTCCTCTTCTGTGAAATGTGGCTTTGATCTAGAAGAACTTCAAAAGTTCTACCAGCTCTGAAATTCTAGGATTTGGGGGTTTGGTTTACTTGCAGTGTTTCCTTTGTTCCATTAGCATCTGCATACGGGGGTTAGTGGATAGAGCCAGTTTATGGAATCAGCAAGTTGGGATTTTAGTTTCATTTTTTGCTACCAATTTTGATGGGACATCTCCCTCTCTTTGCCTCCCTCTTCCACTTTACTTTGCATCACTTCTCAGGATGTTTTAAGAATCCCCATTGATAATGGGCTGGGAGGCTTTGGAAACAGAGATACCAGGACTATGGCAAAGAGCTGATGCTCCTTCCAATGGTTTCTAATAAACCTTCCTTGCCCACACCCTCACTCAGGTGTTCCACTGTACATCTCCAACTTTACAGAGGAAATTAAGGCCCACAGCAAGGGCCACTGATTTCTTCTGTCACCCCTGCCAGCCATCCCTGGCTCAGTTAGGGCTTTTGTCTACTGTCTGGTTGTCCGTAGACCTGAGCTAACAGGGTAAAGGGTGCATGGTGTCCTTAGCAACTTAGAGAGAACTTGAATGCATCATTGATGGGCCCCAGAGTGTCCGGAACTTTAGAAGGAGGCGGTCCCATCCTGTCTGGGTGGCAGATGCAAAGTAAGGGATGCAGACAAGGACCCATTTGTGCCATTTTCAGCTGAGTGCCATGGCAGGGCATAGAGATGAAAAATATCCAGTCCTGTTGCTCAGAAACTGACAGTCTAGCAGGGGAGGTAGGACATGGGCATCAGCTATCACAACAAAAAGCAGAAGGCAATATGTATGCAAGAAAGGATTTGATAAAGAGCATGTTGCTGGGAGGCTGCGGTTCCTCCACGAGGAAGGTAAATATTTCGTTAAGACTTTAAAGCCCGGGTGGAATTTGAACAAGCAATGACTGAATGTCCCACCCCCCTACCACCACCCAAACTGAGGGAACAACTTATGCAAAGACTCAAAGGCAGATATCCTGGGGGCCGGGGGGGTGAGATAAGGCAAAATGTCCCTGTGCTCTAGGCTTTCCAGCATTTAAGAGCTAGGGTCCCCCCGCTTCTCCACCTTATTCCTGTGACCTCTCCTTGCTCCTTAGGAGTTGATCAGAAGCTAAACTCACAGAGGCAAACTGGTCTCTAAAACCTGTGGTAACCCAAGCCCACATCCTGATATTTCCATTTATCAAACGTGCTAAAAAGGCTGCACAGGCAGAACACTTCTCCAGCCCCTCCCTCACCCCCTGTCAGCTGCTGCCATCTCAGCTGAGAGTCAGTGTTTTTATGAGTGAAGGAGGCTGTGAGTAGCACAGACAAGAACTTGGATTTTGTGGCAGATGAGCACACAGTCTTGTCTGTGAGCTGGTGAGGGTCATCACACCCTCCAGCTGGAAGGTCTCTGCAGTTGTGCTGTCCCATACAATAGCCACTAGCCACATGCTAGGCATTTGAAATGTGGCTGGTGTGACTGAGGAACTGCATTTTTAACTCAATTTAATTTTAATCTGATGTTAATACCACTGAGTTAAAAAATTTACTGAACTTGGACAAACAGATGTAGTTTTGTTTTTTGTGTTTTTTTTGCGGTACGCGGACCTCTCACTGTTGTGGCCTCTCCCGTTGCGGAGCACAGGCTCAGCGGCCATGGCTCACGGGCCCAGCCGCTCCGCGGCACGTGGGATCTTCCCGGACCGGGGCACGAACCCGTGTCCCCTGCATCGGCAGGCGGACTCTCAACCACTGCGCCACCAGGGAAGCCCCAGATGTAGTTTTGAAGTTGATTTAACTTTGAAGCCAAAGCATTTCTTCTGGAAAAAAAAAAAAAAGACAAACTTTGTCAGTGCAGATGTGAACACCAAAGGAAAATGATATTATGTTACTTTATTCATTTACAAGGAAACTTTTAAGTATGTCTAAAAATTTGGATATGTAAATCTACTTTTTCAACTAAATTTTATGAAATCCAAGTACAGATTAAATATGTTCAATGAAAATTTTGTGCCTGAATTGACATCCGTGGTGAGTACAAGATGAACCCTGGGTTTTGAAGACAGTACAAAAAGAATGTAAAATGTCTCATTAATAATTTTTACACCGATTACATTACTGTAATTATAAATTATAAATTTTTCATATACTGGGTTAAATGAAATGTATTATTAAAATTAATATGTCCATGTCCGTTTATCATATTAATATAGCTACTAGAAAACTTAACGTTACGATACATGGTTCACATTATATTCCCATTGGGCGGCCCTGCACGAGCGAGGGTGTGCAGCGTGGGGGGGACTCAGGGGCATGGAGCTTGAGGAGGCAGACCGCGAGGGGCCCTGGGCTCCAGGAGGAGAAGTGGCCTCCTCTGCCAGGTGGGGGGAGTCGCGGAGGGCTCTGAGCGGGGCAGGCCTGTGTGGGCGGGAGCTGGGGGCATCTTGAGTGGGCCCCTCACATCCCACAGCGCCCCTGAGGACCCCGGCCTCCTCCTCACTCCCCTCTGCTCCACCCCGCCTCTGCTCCAGGTCATCCTCCTTGGCCTCCAGCACCTCCGGTGGGGAGTCTCTGTCTGAGGAGGAACTGGCCCGGATTCTGGAGCAGGTGGAAGACAAGAAGAAGCTCATCGCCACCATGCGGACCAAGCCCTGGCCCATGGCGAGGAAGCTGGCGGGGCTCAGGTGAGCAGTGGTGGTCGACCAGGGCCCTCCCCGCCCAGAAGGCTCAGCTCCTCTGATGGGCGCAGGAGTCCCTTCCTCCTCTCCACTCCAAGGGGGCTCAACAAGAAGGGGGGTTCACCCTCCCACCCTGCTTTGGTCACGTCATCCCCAGCACGCAACTGGCCATCGGGCCCTGCTGTTGGCCAGCACCGAGCGGGGCCTGGCGGAAGCCAAGGAGGATCGTGGCCCTCTGGCTACGCACCCCCCTCCACTGTCAGGTCACCTCTCTGTCCCGCGCCCCATCTGGTGGCTTCCGCGTCTCCCTCACAACCAAAAAGACACGCCTTCCTTGGGGGTGGGGGGGACTTTCCATGATCCCCATCTCAACAAGTTCAGACCTCTTTTGTGTTCCCTAAGCACTAGAATCTCTCCCCGTGTCACACACTCACCCTTACAGTGTGGAGAGCAGGCGGAGGGGCTGTCTTAGCTACACTTGTGTCCAAATGCCTAACACAGGGCCAAGCTTGCAGTGAGGTTCCATGAATATTGCGTGGCCTGGTGCCCATGCCCCTGACTCCTATTTGCAACTCGGCTATTTCCCTGGTTTCCATATGACGAGCCAGCCCACCATGCATTTTATGGCTCTTGACTCTCTGCTGAAGTTTTGAGAGAAGGGCAGGACGTTTTTCCTGAAAAAATCCCATTCAGTGTTACCATCTTCCCCCAAGTCCCACCTCAGTCTTTCTGCCACAAGACTGGAATGACTCCCTCCTTCCCTCTGTATAAGAAGCCATTTTCCCTGGTTCCTCTCACACCTGATTTTCCTCATTGCTCAAGTCAAATGCCTCGCCCCTTATCACATAGAACAGGTTGGCAGACATTTTTTTTTTTTTTTTTTTTTTTTTTGCGGTACACGGGCGTCTCACTGCTGTGGCCTCTCCCGTTGCAGAGCACAGGCTCCGGATGCGCAGGCTCAGCGGCCATGGCTCATGGGCCCAGCCGCTCCACGACATGTGGGATCTTCCCGGACTGGGGCACGAACCCGTGTCCCCTGCATCGGCAGGCGGACTCTCAACCACTGCACCACCAGGGAAGCCCTGGCAGACATATTTTGACGTTCAGCCTCACTGTGTCTCGGAGGCACAGCAAAGATGCTGGCTGTGCAAACCCTGACCAGGAAGGAGCCTGGTAAACAGAGCTTACTCCACTGTTTTGCAAATTATTACGTTGTCTACAACTCAGCTGCAGGAAGAAATGCCTCCCTGCGGTGCCTCCAGGCCAGTGCTGACCAACAGAACTTTCTGGAATGATGGAAATGTTCTAAATCTGCGCTAATAGAGTAGCCTTCAGTCACATGAAACTAGTGAGCGCTTGAAAAGTAGTCAGTGCAATTGAGAAACTGAATTTCTGTTTTATTTTAATTTACTTAAATTTAAGTCATCACAGGTGAATGGTGGCGACAGTTTGGGCAGTAGCTACAGCTTCAGGCAGCAGGCTGTCTGCCTTCCCACCTCCCTTTTTCTGAGTCTCTTCTCCCTGCTCCCCCAGAGCCGAGTTCTTCCTCCTTCCATCTGTCAGTCTAACAACCTCACTCCAACTCAGGTGTCACCGGAACACATCTTTTATTAACAGTGGAAAAAGAGCAACGTTGATGCTTGTGGAAATGAGATCTCCAGCTGGCTGGAAGTCTCAGGGACCATGAAAATCCCTGAGGGCCATTCAGCTGCCCTGAGGAGAAGTCTGCATCTCCTCCAGGCCTGGGGGCAGAGTTCCTGCTCTTGGTGGGGGTGGGAAGTGGCTAAGGCCCTAGAAGCTGAAAAGACTTGTCTTTCCCACTGGAGCAGGTCTCCCCTCCTTCTCCCTCTTGTAAGACTCCTTATCCCAGGCTCAGGCTCTCCAGCCTCTGGGTCTCAGCTCCATTGGTGCCTCTGCCCTCCCACCTGGCTAGTTCCTACACTCTGAGACTCAGGCCAGGTGTCCCCTCTGCAGGGAAGTCCCCATTGCCCCTCCCTGCATTCAGGCTGAGTTAGCTACGGCCTCTCTGACCCCTAAGGCCCTCACTTGACTGGATGCTCTTGTTAGCAGAGCTGTTTCTTATTCATCTTTTAATATTCTTTTTTTTATATATATTGCCAACATTTGCTGGGTGCTCCCTATGTGCCAGGCACTGTTCTGAGCGCTGGGTGTGTAACAATTCATTTAATCTTCATAATCACCCTTTGATGTAAGTACCATTATTATTGCCCCCATTTTACTGATGAGCAAACTGAGACACAGAGCAATCTAGTAATTTGTCCAAGGCTAAACAGTGAGTTTAGTGGTCTGGCCAGAATTTGAACTCAGGAATTCTGGCTCCAGAACTTGCACTCTTAAATTGTAACTGCTTCTCTAGGATTACTAGACATTCTAGAATACACCCCTTTGCCTCCTGTATGATTTCCTCTTCTGGCAGTAAAGCCTTCAATTGCAGATCTGCAGATAACATGGCCAGACTACATCTTTTTTTAGAAGCAATGGTGTGGGGACCCCAGTCTCTGGCCCACTCAGGCAGCTGGCATAGTTGTTGTAGACAATCAAAGAAGGATGGCAAGGCATAAAGAGCAACAGCAGTGAATTGGGGCAAGCCTGCCTTCACACCTCTACCATATCTGTGTGGTTTGACTGGCTATTCAATCCCCTCAGGCTGGATTCCTTCCCTTAACCTCTCTGAGCCTCACAGCTGTCTTTTGTAAAGTAGGAATAATAATATCTACCTGCAGAGTTGTTCTGACAAATAAAAAATATTTAAGTACCCAGCATATAATATGCAATTAATAGATAGTAATTATTGCTATTAAAGCTTGAACATCTTGTTCCAGACACTGTGCTAAACCCTGAGAGATGAGGATGGGGAACAAAGATGAATCAGAGAAGACATTATTAACGCACATCATTAATAATGACACGAGGCAGGCTGTGATGTTGGCAAAAGAGTTTCTAGTGCTCATGAGTCAGGGATGTTTGCTTTAATCATAGAATTAATCAGGTATGTCACTCAGCTTTGTCAGAAACCTAATGTGTTAGAAAATTACCCAAAGTGAGATCTGAAGAATTCCACTTCTAGGAAGATGGAGTAGATATACTTCTCCATAGTCTTCCCACTAAGTACAACTGAAACCCTGGATATTATGTGTAAAGCAAACATAAGAGACTCAGAAAGGTGGAGAGAAGAAAGGCAGACTGGCTAAGGACCTCAGGGTCAAATGAATGACAGAGAATTGAGTTCCAATTTTCCTTTTTGCCTGTATATCCAGACTGGATATTGGAGAAGCTGGCTGCCCCCAAACACTGACAGTCACACACAAAAGCACCTCAAGAAAAGTCTGCTGTCTCCAGCCAAAGGACCAGAAAAGGAACAGCCTGGCAAGACAGAAGACTTGTAAACAATAACAACCCTACTCCAGCCAAACACCATAAACAAATGAGCAGCTGTAGCCCCAGCCCTGGCAGCAAAAGCCAAGTGGAGAAGCCTACATTTCCTCCCTTGCCAGGCTGTAACATGGTGCCCCTAACACCCCCATCAAATGTCAGAGAAGGCCAAGTGAGGAGCAGGGACTCTCATCCCCACTGGGCAGTGTAATGAGCCCTCCCTCTCCCTGGGGTGTCAGTGGAGACTACATGGGGAGTCTGAAATTTCACCACCACCTGGAAGTAACAAGGCATCTCTTCAAGCCAGGAGGATATGAGTGGAAGGCTTGTGGGAGCCTGAACTCCCATCCCTGCTCAGCAGTAACAAGGAGCTCCAGCCCAGCCCCAGGTATAAAAGGAGGCCAAGTGAATAATCTGGACGTCCACCTAGAAGTAAGCAGGCAGCATCCCCCTTCACCTACTGGAGCAGTGTCAGAGGAGGCCTGCTAAAACACAAGATTTAAATAAGATCCAGAGTCTCATAACATAATATCTCAAATTCCAGGCTTCAGTTGAAAATTCAGTCATCATACCAAGAACGAGGAAGATCTCAAACTTGAATGATAAAAGGTAATCAACAGATGCTAACATCAAGAGGACATATATGTTAGAATTATCTGACAAAGATTTTAAAGAAACCATCATAAAAATGTTTCAGTGAGCAATTATGAACACATGAAACAAATGAAGAAATAGATAGTCTCAGAAAATGAATAGAGGATATAAAGAAGAACAAGTGGAAATTTTAGAAGTAGAAAATATAGTAACTAAAGTTTTTTAAAACTCAATGAATGGGCTCAACAGCAGAATGGAGAGAACTGAGTAGAGAATCAGTGAAAGTGAAGGTAGAACAAGACAAATAAACCTGAACAATACAGAGAAAATGGTCTGGGGAAAAAAGTGAACAGAGCCTCAGGGACATGTAGGATTATTATAAATGATCTAACGTTAGTGTCTCCTCCAAATCCCTAGATGATGAAAGAAGAAAATAGAGTCTCAAAAGAAGAGAAAGAGGGTGGGACTGAAAAAGTCTTCAAAGATATAATGACTGAAAATTTCTCAAATTTGGCAAAACTTACAGATTCAAGAAGCTAAACAAAGCCCCAACAAGATAAATCCAGAGTAATCCATGCCAATACACATCATGGTCAAACTTCTGAATACTTATAAGAGTCAGAGAGAAACAATGCATTACTATAAAGGACAAACAATTAGAATGACAGCAAATTTCTCATCAGAAACTATGGAGGACAGAGTAGGTGACATAAAGATTCTTCAAGTGCTAAATGAAAAGAATTGTCGGGGCTTCCCTGGTGGCACAGTGGTTGAGAGTCCGCCTGCCGATGCAGGGGACACGGATTCGTGCCCCGGTCCGGGAAGATCCCACATGCCGCAGAGCGGCTGGGCCCGTGAGCCATGGCCACTGAGCCTGCGTGTCCGGAGCCTGTGCTCCGCAACGGGAGAGGCCACAACAGTGAGAGGCCCGCGTACCACAAAACAAAAACAAAACAAAAAAAAGAATAAAAGAGAAATCAAGACATTCTGAGATGAAGGAAAACTGAAAGAATATGTCA